TAATAATAATTATATATATATATATATATATATATATTTATTTATTTATTTATTAACAAAATATTTTAGTTTGTCTTGTATATTTTTTTAATTCGATCAGATAAGATTTTAAGCTGTCCATATGGTCAAGTTACAACGTGCCCCTCAGATGTTACAATGTATTCCACCTACGGGGCATGTTGTCACATTTCACTTCCTTTTTTTGAGGGTAAATAAAGAAAAACGTATACACTGTAATTATGAAACAAAGAGACATATTTGTACTAGACAAGTGTAAAATTACTGTGGATAAAAACAAACACAATGTGGATTTACACAAACTGAGAAAGTCAAAAAGTGTTACTTTGTGCCCCACTCTCCCCTACCTCTGTAAATAAATACAATATAAATTCACGTCTCGCGCACTTTAATGCCCTTTGAATGAAACGTGTACGTTCCCTTGGAACTGGAATCATGGGCGGAATTTCATGTGAAGTCCACTTTGCAGGGCACTTACGGTCGACTAAGACTACGCATGAATGCTGCCTGAACAAGAGACCTCCTTACTGAAGTGAAAGACTAACTCGCGAATGCGCCGGCGGATCTCCACCAAATTCGGGGGATCCCTTCAGCTCGAGGAGCCCTCTCGAACGCCACTCTCTGTGCGTTGGCGTCGGACCGCGAATTTAACCACCCGTAACTCCCGAACCCCGGGGGCTATCTACGCGGGGGTGGTCTCATTCGAAAGAGGGCCTCGAGACGTACACTCGATTCACGTTTGAGAGGGTTCCTTGAGCTGAAGAGATCCCCCGAATTTGGTGCGGATTAGCCGCGCCGTTACGGAGATATGGCCGTTCAAAGTTTCAATGGTTTTCCATAGACTTGAGCATTAAAGCGTTTCATCCAGGTCGCCAGTAGCAAACAATGGAGCACACTCTGCTGGACAAACTAAGTAATTACACCATTTCAAGCATTTTATCTGCATTATATGTTCTGTTAAAAAAAATTTAATATCGGCGGCATATCCGCCGATACCGATATATCGGGGACAGGCTCATATTGGCCGATAATATCGGCAAAACGATATATCGGTCGGGCTCTAGCGACCAGCTGAGAAAGTTAGTTGCAAAAGAGCAACCAGTGCGAAGAATGAGTACGGAAACGGAAAGGAGGACTAAGAATTTCCAACGACAACTGGCAGTGCTACATTTGCTACAAGTGCCTGCACTTCAGCGTCTGTCCATCTATCGCTGTTCTCCATACTTGCGAAATAAGCTGACACAATGTTTAAAGTATGTTTACATGGCGTTTTAAATCATGGCGGGTGAGGGTGTTTTCATACGCGTTTGGCCAATCAATGGCTACTTACATCACGATTAGTACCAGTTGTGCTGGTTAGACCCTGCCCTGCGGAGTAGGAGCTAATTTGGTTCTCGAAAAAGGCAGTCCGGTACTAAAATGGCTCCCAGTTCCGGCGGTGCGAAAATGGCAAAAAGTAGTGGGTAGTTCCACAATTAGTTCTGGTACAATGGAAAGATTCCTGCGGTGCGAAAGGCCCTATATACAACTAATTAACAACCTCGGAGCTCACAAGTGGTCTGTATTTTAAGGTTTATCAGTTATTGTTAAAAATGGAACGCTCATAGAGTACTCACATAAATACGGGAATGTTTGAATCAGCCGATACTGGATTGAACCTGCACTCTGTACAACTGGTACAGCAGAAAGGCTGGCATAGTTTTTAAAATTCAGGTATCAACTTGATAACGAAGTACAAAGTACCAGTAGCTACCACAGCTTCTTTGTAGTAGAATTTTGTATGTGCCTCATTTTTTAAGTTTTCATTGATTCAGGTCACTTTCCTGTTTAATACTGTGAATCTGCTTTGAAACTATCTCTGCTGTATAAAGTGCTAACTATATGGGGAAACTAAATTATAGGCAAAAAACATAACAGCAACAAATATTTGGTACACCTTTAGCATAAACTAAAGTGAGCCTTCTCTGAAGCATAATGTCAAACTTGTCCAATTTTATCTCAGCATAAATGTTTCTTCAGTTATATTTCATGATCAAAACATGGTGGCATTTTAGAAGAACTTACGGGAAGCACCCCAGGCATTCTCTCTCCATTCTTCACCCAGCAACATCCCTTTGCGTGCATCTTTTGCTAATTCATCTGATTCCCACAATTTTTTTGCAGGAAGAAGCTGCAAAAAAGGTCAACATTCCAATCACATTTAGCCAAGTATATTCATACAAACAACAGGAAAAAAAACTAGTTAACATAAGTTAAAGTGTTACAGGGAACTCAACACTTGTGATACTGGTCAAAAAGATTGCAAAAGGATTACTAGGCTTTTTAAGGACTCTAATAACATACCTCACCCATTCCACGAGACTCCAGAGCCAAGGCTTGAAAGTCATAATTCATCTCATCCACAGTGCGCACCTACACAAAGAGACATTTGACACTTCTTCCAACTTTGCACACAACTGGAGAGGATCTGCAAGGGGGAATGGCAGAGGATCCCCAAATCCAGGTGTGAATAACTTGTTGCATCTTTCCCAAAAAGACTTATGGCTGTATTAGATCAAAAGGGTGTTTCTACTAAATACTGAGCAAAGGGTCTGAATACTTAGGACCATGTGATATTTCAGTTTTTTTTTTTTAATAAATCTGCAAAAATGTCAACAATTCTGTGTTTTTCTGTCAATATGGGGTGCTGTGTGTACATTAATGAGGAAAAAAAATTAACTTAAATGATTTTAGCAAATGGCTGCAATATAACAAAGAGTGAACAATTTAAAGGGGTCTGAATACTTTCCGTACCCACTGTATATATATTCACATATTTTATGTGTGTGTGTGTGTATGTATTTATATATATATATATATATTTCTATATCACACATATATGAAAAGTGGTTTTCAAGCATCAAAACGGTACTGCTTTGTGTGTGTATATGCAGGGGTCCCCAAACTCGGTCCTAGAGGGCCGGTGTCCTGCAGAGTTTAGCTCCAACTTGCCTCAACACACCTGCTGGTAAGTTTCTAGTATGCCTGTAAGAGCTTGATTAGCTGGTTCAGGTGTGTTTAATTGGGGTTGGAGCTAAACTCTGCAGGACACCGGCCCTCCAGGACCGAGTTTGGGCACCCCTGGTGTATATGGGTCAAAGACGAAAAAGGCTTTACGCATAAAAACAGTAAGTGTAATACTGCTTTAAATTGTTGTTGTTTTTCCCCAAAATTTTTTTAATGTTTTCCGTTTAATTTAATTGCAATTTTGTTTTAGTTTTTCTGAGCAAAAAATAAGTATCATACATTTTTCTGTGATTTACAGAAGATTCCCACTAAAATGTCATTCAGTGTAACAATCTTGTCAGGCATATTCACAACAAAAATCAATTTATGACATATTAAAAGACTAATTACTTTCACCCCAAATACTAATTAGTTGTAATTTTACATTTTTTAAATTTGCCACTATCCTAGGTTTTGCCCATTTGTCAGTAAGAATTTTAAAACACAATAAAATGTAATATGCGCCCTTATTCTTTTATATATTTTAATATGTACACGTCAGAATAAGCATGGCGTTTGAATTTTTACATAAATATTGTGTTACACTGAATGACATTATTTCAACCAAATTTTAACATTTTATTCTTAAACTATTTTAAAACCTTAAAGGGGTCATATGATGCTTTTTTAAAGATAATTATTTTGTGTATTTGGTGTAACAGAATATGTTGACATGCTTTAATGTTCAAAAAACACATTATTTTTCAAATACTGTACATTATTGTAGGTCCTCTATGCCCCGCCTCTCTCAAACGCTTCGTTTCCTACAAAGTCCCTCCTTCCAACAAGCACAGTCTGCTCTGATTGACCAGCTGACCCTGTGCATTTTGATTGGCCGAACACCGCAAGCACTCGTCCCTTACCATAATCGCGAGCTTCATCTTTCAAAATAAACATAAAGACAGAGCCCGAAAGGGGAACAGAGTCAGCTGACTCCACTGTGATGTGACCCCTCCCCCCCTCTCACTCACACACACACATATATATTTTAATATGTACAAGTCAGAATAAGCATGTTGTTTGAATTTTTACATAAATATTGTGTTACACTGAATGACGATGTAACATTATTTCAACCAAATTTTAACATTTTATCCTCCAAAAACTGATTTGAAACCTTAAAAGTAGACACTTTACTTACATTTAATGTGCTTTCTATGGACATAAAATCACTTTTGTAAATTTCTTTTGATGCGGACAGCTTAACGTCTTTGACCCATATACTGTGTTTCCCCTGCCATTATATTAGGGGGACGGCCCTAATATATTTTTAATTACCTTTCCTATAAAACAGGTAAATACCTTGCTCTTTTATTAAGCAAACTAAATAGCCTTATGTTATTTATCTTATTTACACGAAGACATGTCATTTCGGTCTCTACGTTATGGTCGCGCTCTCTGCATCACGCACAGCACACACACACACACACACACACACACACACACAAGTGAGCCCACTCCCACTAGTATTTGTAAATATTAAGCCACAAAACAATTCATATTTAAATATGAATTCTGCGTGTCTCTGTGTTAATGAATGGTGCAGACGCACGGTTTTGTGTAGTACTCATTCTGAAATGCTTGTGACGCTTCCGGTGATATTAACATCTGCTGTCTCACTAATGAGGACATAAATACATGAACAACATCTCCAGAACTGCTTTGAGAGTCACTTCATGAGCATTTGACCGTTTCATTTGAGTAAAACTATCACATCATGTTATACACACACAGAAATGTAAAGGTATTCACTGCAACCCATCAAAATAAAAGTTTGGTTTAACTTGAGGGCATTGGCAGAAATATATTACTATTGTTAAGTAGAATGTTCGTAACAGGCTGCTACTACTACTACTAAATTTATTAAAACCTTATTTTTAAGGAATAAGCATTCAATATTTCTTCAATGTTTTAATTGTACCTTTATTTTCCCAAAAATAAAATTTGTTTAATTTTCGTTACTTTAAAGATAGATTAAATGAATGTTTTATGCCTTAAAACAAAATGTAAATACACAGCACAGAATTTCTGAACAAAAAATCATAAGGCTATTAAAAGAATACATGAAACTTGTTTTATGCTTTCAAATAATTAGACATGCTAAAACAGAATTTGGTTACAATAAAACATAAGGTTGGAAAAATAAAACATTTTATAGGGCCCTAAACATGTAATATTTGTTAAACTTTTAATAAATTGATGTTAAATTGTTTAAGTTTCATGATTTTAATTAATTAGACATGCTTTTTGATTAATAAAATGTAATTTAACCATTAAAAAGGAGTCCAGAAAAAATGAAATAAATATATATATATATATATATATATGCATATATGCGCACTAGAATGCACCACATTTAATTTTATATTTTCTGAGCAAAAAAAATTACTATCATTTTTTGCCATGATTTACAGAAGACACCCACTAAAATGTCATTCAGTGCAACAACAGTTTATATACCAAAAAAATATTATCAGGCATATAGAGCAAGAATCATTAGATGTCTACAAAAGACTATTTAAGGATCACAGTGCAGCCCCAACATTTTTTTCCTATATTTTAATAAGTACAAGTCAAAATAAGTATGTTGTTTCAAGTAAGTATGTTATGTCGGTGTGACACTTAATTAAACAGTCCTCTGTCTTTGTGCCCATGTTCACATTCCTTTGCACTAGGGTTAGCCTGAGGTCTTTCTTACCTGGTCAACATGGTTTCCATCACCAGTGGGCCAGCGGTGTTTGCTTGCAGTGCAGCCACCTAACTCCCCAGGCTGCCTTTGAAAAAAATAGCCCACAGTGGCATCATCTTGAGAACGACCGCTCAGTGGAGGCTGAGGGGTGCCTGGGTTGGGATTTGCCACCCGCTCCATACCTGGCAGAGGGTGAGCTCCTCCAGGTCCCTGCCCAGCACTTCCTACTGTGGCTAGAGAATCCCCTGCATGGACTCTGACCCCTCCAGTCTCTGGCGCACCATTTGTGTGCAGCATCCCGCCTCGCGTCTCCTGCCAGGCCACGTCATTCATACCTAAGATGCTGCATGGAATGCTCATTCCACGGAAAAACCTATAGAAAAATTTGCTGTTTTAAGGACCAGGGAAGGTAAATGCAATTAAAAAAAAAAAAAAAGTTTATTTGCCTCCATGGGATTAATGATAAATCTTCATTTTATTCCACAATAATTTACTAAATTGTTTATCTTGAAGTATTTGGAATACAGAATCACTGAAAAATAAAACCAGTGTTGAAGAAAATCATATGTGGGTTATGCAAGTTGTATTACATAAAACCCAACCGTTAAATGTAAACAAAGTCACCAGTCAACAGCAGCCAAGATAAGGACTACATATATATATATATATATAAAGTATGTGTCTCATACATAACTAAGCTATGCAATCAAATACAAATAAATAAAACTACACGAATTGTCAAGAGAACAAAGCAGAAGAATAATTTCCCATTATCTCCAGAAATGTGTCCAATAACTAAATCTTGCTTACTCAGTTTTTAAAAGCAAGACACTTTAAAGGCATACGATTCTAGATTTAGAAAATGCGTTTTAATAAAGACCTGAAATCACGCGTTTCTATGTGAATGTTTTGGGTGTACAGGGATAGCAGAATGCTAACGGCTAACACACACATGATGGACGGCGGTGAATGTAGGCTTTATATTAGATGTAAAATTATGCCGTTTTGCCTTTAAAGCTTCGAGCTCACAACTATATCCTTAAATGTTTGGTCTTAGTAGTGTTTTTATTTGATAGGCCTGTCTGTTGTTTGTTAGCACCGCGGGGCCCTTGACTCCGCCAGCTAGCACCTCGCTAACAGTCAGCGCAAGATAGGCCTTGTTTTAAAACAAAACCTGATTTATTTCTACTTAAAATTCAACAGCATCATTGAACTGATATGCGACATTGGAACTAAACCGCAAATCCAAATGTCTACTAAAAATCCATGCAAGTCCGACTTCAATATGTTTGTGTTTTTGCTAGTGCACGAGACGCTTTGTTGATAAAACAACTCACAGGCCTCTCACCTCTAAAAGTTCGTTTTACAACGAATGGATCCCTTAAAAAATTTTTTTACAAATAATTATATATCTCTACACGTTGACCTCACTGTTATGACGCCAACAACGAGGATATTTCATAAGAATTAATTAAATAAAGCCCCATGTTTTTTGGCTGACAAACTCAAAACATGGCCCCCTGCTCAAGCCCCTAAACAAAAGGGGCAACAACCGACGTTCGCGCTCCAATATATCCATTACATCTGGTTAAAGATACTCACGCGTGGTGTGTGATGATGTTCAAGCCCGATGTTTCGAGGCTATGATGGACGCGGTGTTGTGTATAAGTTTAGTATCCGTGGAGATAGGGTGTGTGTGTGTGTGTGTGTGTTTTAATGATTAGGTGTTGGAGGCGCTTGTGTAGGAGTTTGGGAGGTTGGTTCCCTCCTCCCCTGTGTATACACTCTGTCACACACAACGCATCCAACATCAGACCTGCACACTAAAATTACAGATGATCATATTTGTTTGTTTAATACCATGGCGCATGCTTGTTTAGTTTCTTAAATTGATTTATTTTATATAAATATTAGAGTGTTCACGTAACTTTAAAGTGTAAAAAAGAGCAGACATTAAATTTATTTTTGGAAATAAATCTAAAAAATAACAGCAAGCGGCGAACACGTGATCCAAGCACGAACGCCTTGTAGAGGATACAGTTATTGATATAGCCTATTATTGCATATTATTGCTCTTTTGTTGGCCTTGATTGCTTCTATTGTCATCATTTGTAAAAGCGTCTGCTAAATGACTAAATGTAAATGTACATTTAAGTGTCTTTCTATCGAAGTATTATTGTATGTTCTATATTACAATAGACAAATAATATTGTCTCTTCATTTTAACTTGACTGTATATACCCTACAGTGACAGTCATGTCTGACAACTTGACAAATGTTTTCTGAATTTAGTATATATGAATATGAAGGCATTTCGGAGATCACAGCTTAGACTTGTATTGTTTTAGCCTTTATTTAACTTTATGAATCTATAATGAATTTTATGCATAGTTAATCTATTTAACCATTTACACAGATTTTAAATTATGCCATCTAAAAGAATTAGTTGTCTTGTGCTTCCCTCTGGTGGACAACATTTGTATTACGACCTCCATCTCTCATTTCAACTGATAAATGGCTGACATGTTATTGTATTAATTGCTGTTAGCACCCAGGACATCAGAAATTCGTGAGCAATGAGCACACTTGAATGCAGCAATATGCAGGCTACAACAAAAAAAAAGAGGCAACTTCTCATTTTAAATGGACAGTAATACATAAAGTCACGTCATGCAATTTGACAAATGTTTTTAATATCATTAGGATATATAAAAAATAAGATAGCATTTAATGACCTTTAAGTGCTTTGGAGATCACATTTCTTTGCAAACTAATAAAGTTTATTCATCCATATGAAACCATAATATTTTATTTTCTTGTTTACTACATAATTATTCTGAAACATTTACAATGATTTCAATTTATGAACATTCATGTGTCATTCACATTGATATTAACGGTTGATTCTTGATAAATTGCTGAAACCCTCAAAAAAATCTACTTAAACTATGTCAATTGGAAAAATTTTATGTAAAATAAAGACAAAAATATACCTAAGGATATGAAGCATACGTAGGTGTTTTATTTTATCTCTGTAAACATTTACCTCTGTAAAAACACTTCTTTGTTATTCAGAGTGATGGAAACTGATAGAAAAACATTTGCGCAGTTTGCAATGACAGAACTAATATTTTGGGGTATATTTTACTTATTTTTTTAATGTTTCAGATATTACTGGTAACAAGTAGGTAGTGTAGTTAGAATGTACCCATTTATATATATTTTACTTGATAACTAATATACTTAAGTAAAATATAACTGATTCGGATGGGTTGTATTTAATACCCTCCTGCATAATTTTTTACAGTGTGTAAAGGCAGTTTACAATAGGTAGCAATGTTGTTATTCAGCTGAAGTCAGTTTAATTTTGATTCAGTTCAGTTTAATACTAGAGCCAAAGTTACAAGATGTGATTCAGTGCTCAGATTTATGAGTTTTGTTCCTCAAAGAATTAGCGTATTTGAACAAAATGTAAAATTTTATAAATCCATTCATCTGAGCTGCATTAAACACTAAGAATTTAATTCATTAAAATCAAAGATGTATTTATTTGGTACTGATTTAATTTGATCGGTAATAGCAATATATTTTTATATTCTGATTGAATTAATTTATTAAATTTAACAATCTAATATAAGAGGACACAGATATGACAATACGTTTAAAAATACTTCTAATATTATCTCTAAACTTTGACTAGTCCAGGCATATTAATTGATCTAGGAGCCTCAAATAATTTTTGGGCATTTTGTGCTACTTAATAATGATGTTCTAGTTGACGTCATTAGCATAGGTATAGGGCCCAAACATAATGCAAAAAGGCATCCAAAAGTTCAGAAACCAGTCAAATGTTTATACACACTTGACCTTGACTGAATTTGTTTCTCATGATTATCAAAAATCTTTTGATAAGGCTCATGTTTGAATTAGTTTCGCAAACAAAAAATTGTTCTGCCAACATGAACAATTCTCAAAAACTACTCATTCTATTTATATATTTTAAAAACATTCGTCTACGTATTTTATATAACTATTTCTATTATAAAATGTTATTTATTAATGGATGAGTTGGACCCGATTGTGAGATCCAACAAGTAGGCTATCCAAGTGTTTCAATCCTGTTGAAAGCATCCCAGGATTCACATAACTAGTTGAGAAAAGCCTATGCGAATTTGTAAGGCAAAGGCTATACATTATTTTACATTATATACTATTATTTTACATGATTATTTACATTTTTATATTATTTTGATTACTTTGTTGTTATTCTAAAAAAGTAAACTAGATGAGTAAAGTTTGTAAAACTAAAAAAAAAACGCTGAAAGTTTATAGATTGATAAAAGTCAATTAGATTGTCGATTGTGAGCTTTCAGTCACTTTCATAAAAACATAAATAAATAAATACACGTAGGCTACTGTTTTTAGAGTGAATCATCAATTAATGGAGCAACATGGCAGCATTTATAAAAAGAAAGATCCAAACACGGCCCATTATAAGATTTCTAACAGAGGCCGTCAGGTTTCTGTAAAATACCAGCAGCTATGAACTTTACCATGAAAAATACGGTAGCAACATTTTAGGTTTTACAGAACTGTTTAAATTTACAGTGAAAAACTGTATTTCATTAACTGACACAATGTTAATATGCAAACCTTTGAGCTAACTAATTTTATTTGCAGAAACCGACTGCACTTAATTTGACCAATTGGCATTTGTTTGTAAACTAACATTTATAATGCTTAAGTAACGCAAGCATATTTGTCTCCAGAACTATTTAGCTGTTTAAGTCCACGAAAAAAAAAAGACTGATTTATGCAAAGTCATTAAAAGCATCAATTCAACTCAAATCTCTTGCAGATAACAGCAACACACTTTCATGTGTGATTGCAATTATTAAAGAGATTCACATTGCATCAGTAACTGCACAGTTACTGACTTTAAACAAAACAATAAGCAGTATAACATCAGTGTTTTGCTGTCTGTCCTTTACTTAAACACACTGGCTCTGCTCTCCAGCACAATGGTGACCCACAAAACACAACAGGAAGTTGACTGTTAGGTTTTACAGTATTTTGCTGTTTTCTTTTCTTGATTTTACTGTGAAATACCGGCAGCTGTGGTTGCCAGTAATCTACAGTTGTTTACAGTTTGCTTCCGTAAATTAAATTAACAGTATATTTCTGTTAAAAACACATTTCAGTGTGTTTGTCTTCATCTCACAAATTTTACCCCTTTAATCCCACAGCAAAATCCTCAGTTTTAAAGAGCACTTATATGTGTCCACACTACAGAGTGTTGAAGTGACGATGAAGTTAATGAGATAATTAAATGAGGATTGAGCATTAGTGATGAACACCTATTAACAAGCAGAATCACTGAAGGAAAGAGAAACAAAAGCAGAGAAACACAACTTACAGCCAAAGCCAAAGATGAAATCAACTGAAAATAAAACACATTAAATTGATTTTATTTGCAGAAACCGACTGCACTTAATTTGGCCAATTGGCATTTGTTTATAAAGTAATATTTATAATGTTTAAGTAATACAAGCATATTGGTATTGAGAACTATTTTGCTTAAGTCCATTAAAAAAACCTACTGATTTATAAAGTCGTTAAAAGCATCAATTCAACTCAAATCTCTTGCAGATAACAGCAACACACTTTCATGTGTGATTGCAATTATTAAAGAGATTCACATTGCATCAGTAACTGCACAGTTACTGACTTTAAACAAAACAATAAGCAGTATAACATCAGTGTTTTGCTGTCTGTCCTTTACTTAAACACACTGGCTCTGCTCTCCAGCACAATGGTGACCCACAAAACACAACAGGAAGTTGACTGTTAGGTTTTACAGTATTTTGCTGGGTTTTTTTCTTCTTGATTTTACGGTGAAATACCGGCAGCTGTGGTTGCCAGTAATCTACAGTTGTTTACAGTTTGCTTCCGTAAATTAAATTAACAGTATATTTCTGTTAAAAACACATTTCAGTGTGTTTGTCTTCATCTCACAAATTTTACCCCTTTAATCCCACAGCAAAATCCTCAGTTTTAAAGAGCACTTATATGTGTCCACACTACAGAGTGTTGAAGTGACGATGAAGTTAATGAGATAATTAAATGAGGATTGAGCATTAGTGATGAACACCTATTAACAAGCAGAATCACTGAAGGAAAGAGAAACAAAAGCAGAGAAACACAACTTACAGCCAAAGCCAAAGATGAAATCAACTGAAAATAAAACACATTAAATTGATCAAGATCACAGCAGAGGAGGATTAAACAGCTCCACAAACAGCATCACCAGCTTCTTATTACTAACCAGTGTGACTTTATTTCTGTCATATGTGTACAAAAGCTCTTATTGAGATTTTAGGTGTTGTACTTTCATTTGAAGTCACCATAATGGCGATCGGTGTTTGCTTCAGTTGGGCTCTTGAACCTTGACTTTTTAGAAATAGTTTTTCTTTAGTTGCTTAAATTAGTTGTGTTTATTTAATGTAATTTTTATAGCAAGAAAAGTCAAAAGAATCTATGATCAGATAAAAACGGTATGTGTAATGTCAAGACCATCATGAACTAATCTGATTCACTGATCTCACCTAATGTTAAATCGCTTGTTCAGATCAGTGATTCCAACGATGATGATTTCACATCAACAGTTATCAAAAATACTTCATTATAATTTCTTTTGGCTCGTTTTGTCATATCAAATATGCTTTACATGCACGGAAACAACAGCTGAGAAAAACTAACAATAAAGAGTCAAGGGTCAAGAGCTCAACTAAAGCAACCACTGATCGCCAA